TCTTCACCGGTTCCTGCTCAACTGAGAAGAGAATTCCTGCCAATCAATGTTTGCTGCTTTAATTACCTGGATAACAGGTAGCCATTCTTTATGAAAGACCCATAGATTACATGCTTTTCACAACCACCACAACAGATATGTGGTTAGTTGTATTCTAGCTTCAGCCACTTCTTTTTTATCAATTGAACACATTATCCCACCAAACTATAAAATTGGTTGTGTTTTGTGAACTCAAATCCCAAGTGACTGGGGACAACTTCCAAACCTGTAAAGTTGTACTACAGTGGAAAAAAAATATTTTCGACAGATTCAGATTCAGCACCACACCTTTGGCAAATCACATCCACTTCCATACCTCTTCTTTTCAGGTTATTCTTGACTGGCAAGGTGTTGATGTATCGTCTCCATACAAAATGCTTGAGCTTTCCTTTAATGTGCAACTTCCAGCTTCTCAATCTTACCTTTTTAGCCAGCAATGCTTGAGCTACTCTCAGCAATGTCTAGTGACCTGAATTTTTCCTCCACAAATCTAGAATAAGCTTTGGCAACCACAAACTCCTCTTTAGCCTCATTATTCCAGGATCTGTTAGCTTTTGTTGGGTTCAGAGATTTAATGTTGAGAATTGTTTGGCAGTCTTCTTCACAAAACAACTCCTTCACCAAAGTTGCATTCTATCTTCAACCACCTGATTCCATTAGCTCCCAAACAAACTGAATATCAGTATGCACTCCTGGTTTGAGAATTGTAATGCCTGAAACAGAACTAGTCACCCAAGCATCCTGCCAGATTCTTGTAGAAAGACCATCACCAATTCTCTTTTTGGAACAAGCTTTATATTTATTCTTCACAGCCATCCAGGTTCCCCACAACCAAGAGGAACTCTGGTTTTTCTGAGCATTAAAGATGTTACCTGAGGGGAAGTACCGGCCTTTGAGAAGCTTGCTCACCAGTAAGTTAGGCATCGTAGCTATTCTCCATATTTGCTTCAGAATCAAAGCATCATTGACAAGTTTCAGATCCTGAAATCCCAGCCCACCAAGCTCCTTAGGCAAAGTAATAAACTTCCAAGCTTTTCAATGAATGCCTTTGGAGTCCTCTTCACTGTTACTCCACCAAAAATTAGCAAGCAAGCAAGATATCTTATGACAAAGAGAAACCGGTATAGAAAAACATGACATTGTAAACACAACAAGAGCATTGAGAATAGACTTCATGAGGACTTCCTTCTGAGCCAAAGACAAAAATATGTTCCTCCCCCTCTCACAGACTCCACCACATAGTCAAAAGTTTGCTTTTTAGATCTTCCAATTCCTAGGGACAACCCAAGGTATTTGGAAGAGGAATGGACCTGAATTCCAGCAAGTCTAGAGCAAATAGAAGATTGCAGCTCAATAGACACATTCTTACTGAAAAAAAAAAAATAGAGGATTTCAGCCTATTAAATTTCTGGCCACAAAACTTGTTATACAGGTTTAGAACTCTGAGCACTACACTAGCAGATTGAATATTGGCACCACAAAAAACCAGAGAATCATCCGCAAATAAGAGATGAGATAGAAGACAGACCTCCTCTAGCAATACATATACCATTCAGGTTCCCACTAGCAATCTCTTTCTGTAAGTCTGGTGAACAATTCAGTCTGATGATACACACGTTAGTGAACACCAGTTGCTCCCCATAACTTTTTAAAATTAAAGATCATAATACGGATTAGCCATTTGCTTTTTCAAACATCTTTATTTGCTTGAACTAGTGTATAGCCCGTGCGATGCACGGTAAATAATATTAAATAATAATTATGAATTAACGATGACAGTAAATAATATTAATTAATAATTATAAATTAAATATGAGGGTAAACAATATTAACTAATAATTGTAATTAAGATGTGGAGATATTAACTAATAATTGTAATTAGGATGTGGAGTTAATATGTAATATAATTTATCGTATATCAGTTGTAAACAATATAAATTTATCTTGTATAAAATAACATAAAAAATGTATGTTTAAAATATTAAAAACACCTAAAATATTATATAACATATGTAAAGTATCTAAAATTTTATATACCATTATTGAAGATGTGAAGTCACCTAAAATCTTTCTAAACTATTTTATAAATAAAACATGTCTAAAATTATTTAAAAAAATCTTGCCGAAAATATGTTATTCAATTTCCAGAACATGATGATAAGTATAAGTTTGAATTTTAGAATCCACGTGAGTATTATTTTTTAGATTCATGTACTATACAAATTATTCATTATGTTAATTTCCTGTGAACTTCATATTGATTTATTGATTTTATTTTATTTCTATACAAAGTTGATCGTCTCATTTTGTTTTACCATATTTTCATGGAGATTTAACAAAGTAGATTGCATTTATAAAATGATTTGGATATCAACATACAATTTATAATGAAGTTTTCAAAATTTTGTACTATTAACAAATGATATATTATCATTAAATATATTTTTTTTAAATGCACAATTATTGAGACTGATAATTTGATAATTATTTTACCTTTTGAAACTGAGTATAGAAAAAACAATAGATTGGTAAACAAATAAGTGATAAACATTACCAAATTTATTATCACACGTTCCAAATAAAAAAATTGTGATGATTAGTGGAAAATGATATTTAACGAATAGCATTCAATATTTTTTTTGAAAGGCATAAATATAAAGTCCGATATTCTAAAATTTTTATTACCTTTTCAATTGAGATTTTATAAATATAGAGACTGAGATTTTAATGTTCTTCGTTGTTTTTATGAAAAAATAAAATAAAAATGAAAAATGCATACTTAATAGATCTTAGCTAGAATTTTTAAATAATAAATGAATTAAAGCCAAAAATTTAATGCAACATTGAATGTTGTATGATTTTTCAAAGATAAAAGTAAAAAATAAATAAAAGTTACTATTTATAGGTTGCATTAAATTCTCTCATTTTTTTTGTTACTATTTTTGTTAAATGGTAATTCTTATTATATATGTATAGATATCTTTCGATCTTAATACGAATA